TATATACATATATAGTGCATTTACATGTATATCTCGGTTCACATGTTGATTTGAAATCGATTGATTTTTTGAACCGTTTGATTTGATATCTACTAGATATTCTATTGATCTTCGAAAGAAGATTCGATGCAGCATTGACGTCGCTCTTCTGGATGCAGCGTTAATAAAATGTTGATTTCCTCTAAAGATCAATAGAAAATGTAGTCAATATCAAATCAAATGGTCCAAAAAATCAATCAATATTAATTTGGTTTCGACTAGAGTATTGATTAAAAAATTGCTATTAGTGTAAATCATTTTCTTATAATGTATTTATTGTATTATATATAGAAACATACGTGTCAAATATGTTTTATTTAATTGTTTCTTCATAAAGTTTGCTAAGTTCGTAATTATATATTTTACACACGTTATATTTTAACGTAACTAATTTCTTTTTTAAATTACCAATATCTTTATGTGATTGATATTTAAAAAATAAAAGGAGGATAAAAGGTAGCGGAGGATAAAAAGTAGAATATAATACCTCGTTGACTTACTTTTAACGAGGTATTATATTCTTTTTTGCTGAAGATGACTCCAAAGTGGCTCCGAAACATTCGATACAATAAATGAAGATACAATAATCGCTAACACTTGAGTATTATTTGCATCTCCTAACTTTTCGCTCTTACATCAGCGTTAAACTCTTATTAGCCTTGTTTTATATTTCTAATTCTGCGATTAAATTTTTTGCGCACGATGTTATGAAAGGTATTGAGAGCTATGAAAAAGTCAGTTCTACTATTGCTTTGCCTGACTCGTTCATTGCATATTCAGGGATGTTTTTTTCAGTACAGTTGATTTTCTATTTTTTTAAATACAATTCAGGCAATTTTAGTACATCAGTACTTTTTTGAAATATATCGATTCGATGTCGATTCTATTATCATTTCTGACTGGGAATACATCATCGCGTGGCGTCAATATATTATATCCTATCAGAACACTTCTGTACAAGATTGCCTTCAGATGCAGTCTCCTTCTTCGAGGAGCATCCCTGTGCATATTTATTGTAAATAGATTTCTGTTCTTTTAGCATTCTGGTTCGTAGATTATGTTGCTGCTAGGTTAAGATATACTAAAGCATTTTACCGACTCAGCTTCTATATTTCACTTTTTTTGATTATCTATAGTGTTTAATAGATTATTCTGAAGACTGATATCAGTGCAAATTGTATTCTGACTGGGCTCATACTTCATATGGCAATAAGGGAAATTTCCATTCCTTTTGCGATAAATGTTCTTAATTAGAAATATTATATTTTCCACTTTTCACATATTTATTAATTTTCTAAAAAAATGATCTTTTTAAAGGATGACATTTTGATTTTATTTATATTAAAGCTTATATAATTTAGTACTTAATTCTTTCAAAACAGGTAATGGCTTTTTCAAAACCACGTTGTTTTGAAAGAGCTGAATTTCTTGTTCATGAAAAATATAATAGTGATTAAATCTCAGTTAATGACTAAATATTATTTTTCTATTAAAGGGATCTTATAGATAAATGAGTACACTTAAGTAAGAAAGCGATTATATTTGCTTAATACCAGATTAAGTATTTTTTCATATTTTGAAAAAAAAATGAAAACTCTTTATGCCCACTCTCCTCTACACCCCGATTATGTTCAAACTTGCAATAATCTGAGATACTAATAATCCTTCCTAAATTAAATTAAAATTTGTAAAGAACTATTATAAAAAATATTTTTATCTGTGAGAATGCTGGTCTCTAAGGATGCTAGCGTGATATCTAAATTCGATTTCCAGCTTAGATAATATTTTTTGCAATAAGTTCTTTATGGGATTTAATTAAATTAATGGAGATTTTTTATTATCATTTCAGATTAATTAAGTTACAAATCCGAAAATAATTGGCGCGCAATCATAGTTCTGAGATAATTATATTCAAAATACATATCGATGTGTTACTTTAAACATCCAATTTTCACTGTAATTGGCAGCCTCGTATTTAGTTGTTTTAAATCACATTAAATCAATCAAAGATAATTTAAACAATTAGTAAAACGATGTAATTGTTATTAACAAATGTATGTAGCAATCCTATTACTTACTAATTGCTCGATTACTCGATGTAATATTCATTCAAATCTCAACATTCTCATCATGTATATAAAGAAACCACTTCTTTATTATCCTGTCAGAACTAATAATTTTATATAATTTGAATAAGAGATTATATCTACTTTTAGAAATATTCAAACGTATGAAAACGTTAGTAGAGAAAAGTAGTTTGAAGTACTCTTGGCAATGTATGTTGCAGCGCTGATCATGTACCGCTAGCATTCTTTGTACAAAAAATGTCAAAAAGACACGAAAGGAATGCGCAGAATATCCGATAATAATGACGTTTCTTAAAATGAAATTGCGAAAGTCGCCCACATCGAAACTTTGCATCACAATATCTCCGATTGTAGGACACACAGAGAAAAAATAAAGACACTTTCATTATATATTTCGGGTAGAAGCTATTATTACTAGATTAAAACCTACTTAGAACTTGATCGGTCCTTTATTGAAATCTTATAAGCGCGGTTTAGAAAATCTCGACGGTTCGTGTAAAAATACACGGAGCTAACATGTTGCGCGACACTACCGTGTCTTCTGATACCACTGGAAAATCAGTGAGTATCTAGAATTCAGATTTTTAGAGAGTACATTTTGAAATATAAGTGTACTTTGTTCTTTATCGTATTTATTATTTTTTCTTTTTATATTTATTATTATCTAATAAATCAGTACACGCGGCATTTCGTTAAACTTAAATCACATATATCATTTCGCACGAGCTCCCGATTCGAAAGTGACAGACAATTAATCAAGTGCAAATTGAAAAAAAATTTGAAATAATATATCTCAATGTAAGCGTCGTTGACGAAATCATTATTGATCGAAAGTACGAACATTAACATAATAATAATTTGAAATTCTCATTTTTCAAAGATGATCATATTTGATACCCCGAGACGACGATGTCTAGAGCATCCCATCTTGAGAGATAATGTGAGACGTAACAAAACGCATCACTAACTACGTTTACACGGCTCGGTTTACGCCAAAAAGTTATAACATTGACGTTATAAAATTAACCAATCATTGCTATTCCTTTGAAGAATGGAATAACTGTAATTGGCAAGTTTTAGAACATCGATGTGATCGTAAATCAATCCGTGTAAACGTAATTACTATCAGCTCGCTTAGGAGTAGTGTATACGTACAATGACTTTAGGTGCGTTCCACTTCATACATAGTATTTTGTACTATGAATTAATAATACAAGTAATTTGCAGTTACTGTGTCCTTCGTGTAACGCAAATCAATGAAACAGCCCTTGTTTCCCAAACGTGAATGTTGGTTACCTCGTTAATTTTCTCTTTTTAATGTTTTAATGTTTATAATGGTCCAATTACACTAAATAAATTACGCTTCTTACAATTTTTTTATGAATATGTAATTGTTTAAGATATAAAATGTTAAAATTTCTAATATTGTTACATAATTTTAATACAGACTAATTTAAGTAATATACTCGCTAATTCTTTCTTATTTTTATCAAACCTCGCGTATCGTCGCAGTTCGGAAAAAGAATGATTTCTCTTAAAATACTTCACGTGCGCAATTAAATGCTAATACAATAAATAATACATTTCGCGAGTATATCACTTAAATTAGTCTGTATTAAAATTATGTAATAATATTAGAGATTCCAACGTTTCATATCTTAACCCAGTCACAGTGAGCCATATGAGAGACACCTTTTTGGTCTTTTGTTACCATTTTATCTTTTGTTTTCAGAGTAAACTCACGGGTTTTTTGCAAATAAAATAAGATTCAAACTTCAAAAAGCAGGGCATGTTTCATGATTATCTAATAATTTTTATTTGTTATAAACAAATTTATACCAAAAAATGGATGTTTTTCCGAATTTAATTTATTTGGCAGATTTTGACAATAAACATGTATTGCAAATTATTGTTTCCAATGTTTTTGAAGTCGCTGAATTCCAATTCGCCACCAGATTTTTAAAATTTAAAATAGCGAATCTAATATGACGACCAGAACTACAAAAAGTGATTATTTTTGCAATTGGTCAATTATTATTGCATTGAATCAGTCATTTTTAACACTATATATTATTGTTGTTAATGTATTGAATATGGGAATAAGTTTATGGAATTAAGTTTAATTTGGGAATAAGTTTAAAAATTATTAATTTTTTGATACGCCATCTTGAATCCGCCATTTTGGATTTGACTTTTTTTGTAATTCGACCCCGGATTCAGATTCAGCAGCCTCAAAAATATAAGAAACCATCCTTCCTGTAATGATTGCTACATCCCCTGAATTGCGTGACTGAAGGGTTAAACAATTACATATTCATAAAAAAATTGTAGAGAAAAGGGAGTAAAAAATTCGTAAATGTTTTATGTGAGAAATAAAACATTTACGAATTAAATATTTAAAAGAGAGAAAGGGAGAGGGGGTGAGGAGGGGGGAGAGAAAGGAGGAGGGTGGGAGGAGGGAGGAGGAAAGGGGGAGGACGAGGGAGGGGAGGGGAGGGAGCGAAGGAGGGAGAGAGGGGGGAGAGAGAGAGAGAGAGAGAGAGAGAGAGAGAGAGAGAGAGAGATTCATTTATCGCTCACCTGTTCAACCCATAGGTTTGTCGTCATAATCTGATTCTTCAAGTTCTGTAACAAAAATTATTTCTTTTAATAAATATAAATTACATATATTTTTTAATTGTACAATCTATAATTAATTGTTCGTTTAAACCTACAATTTCTATTTCTATAATTTATTCTAATTATTATATGTACATAGTTAGAATAAATTTAGTTTGGTATACTCGTATTTTAAAAAATATCTATAATTTAATTTATATTAAATTTTGTTTCAATTCTTTATTATACATCTACACACATTTTTTGATAAATTTACGTAATCTTCAATGCAATTAAAAAAATTTTTAATTCATTTTAAATTTATTTGCTTTAAATAACAGGGAATGACGTTAATTAAGATTATATGAGAAATAAATCATTTGACGTTCTCTGAATTTGTTTAACTTCTAAAAACAATTCCTATGGTTCTATTTGGTAAGCGTTTGGCAACGAGTCTTCTTCAATAGAAAGTGTACGGCACTAGTCTTCTTTTTGCATCTGTCAGCCGCAGCGCATTGTAATTTCCGGATTCAACGTCGCCCTTCGACTAATTGGACTAGCTAACAGTTCGGGTGCATAGATGGAACTTGCAGTTGTAATTCTAGTTATGGACTGTTGGTATGCGATTTTGGACTTTCTGCTATTTCGTGAATCCCTGACATTCACAATTCAAACTATATCATACGTGGAATCTATCCACGCCCGCATCTGTTTGCATGTGCGAGCAAATCTAATCCTGATTGAATGCAAACGATGTGTCGGAGACAAGTATATCCTCAAATATTTCTGCGACATTTATACAATTGCTGTTGATTTTGGATATACGATTATTAATTATTATCGATTATTAATTATTACGATTATTATCTGTTAGATGCTGCTATCGATATTATAATTAGAGTAATCAGAACTTTTATAGTTATTGACAATCAAAATTTTAATGTTAACATCATTAATTTAATGACATACAAGTATTATTACTGTATTACCTGATATTATCAAATTTAGATATATTAATTTTTGAACAATGAATTAATTTCTTATTTAATTTAATTATGTGAATTACAATTATTTCCTCGTTGCTTTTGCTTGTTTAATTTTGCAATAATAATTTACCGCATAAATTGATCTATAGTCATAAATTCCATCATGTGTCGAAACAATAAATATATACATTAACGATGTTGGGCCTTTCGCTGTGACATCAATGAGGTGTCCGACAAGGTAATCATCGCAACATAGTCGCATCGAGGGACCGGTATTGAATGGTATATTCACTCTGGGATGAGTTATCCTCCGTGATAGTAAGGCGGACTGCATTCATATGCAAATGTAATAATACCAATATAGCTTTAGTCTGCGCGTTTCGATGAATCTTGGATGTAAATGTAACGAAGACCGGATATATTATCGTGGTGTTATTAAGAGCGTTGATGTTGTTTTATGTGGAAAATGTAATTTGGTTTTTTATCTCTATAATTATAATGACATTCGTTGAAACGTATTAAAAGGATAAATATGATAATAAAACGGAATAATATGAAAAGATCATTTTCGTTTTAGTTAATCGCATTTAAGTCTGTATTCGTTTTATCAATGTTTTTTTAAATGATAAATTATACGTATTGTACTTCTCTAATATATTTTACCTTAATCTCTCTCTCTCTTTCACATTCTTTAAATAAAAAATGCACCTTTAACAAGAACATTAATTTTTCTACAATAATTAAAAAAAAGTGGTGTTACTTTTTGTATAAATATTATTTCCTTTTTTCTTTCAATGTTTCGTATATAATTGTCGTAAACAATTGTCAGATTAATTGTTACTTACGCGACTCTGTCGAATCGATTGAATTATCGCGAGATTATAGAGCTCATCGGGTGACAAGCATTATCGCGATTATAGGGGCAAAGGCTAATTAATTCGTGCGTATTCGATATACGCACACGTGTTCGCCAATTCGCTTGAAATTAATGTCATGTCGATTGTAACCACGGAAAGCGGAAAACTCGCATGTCGGTTTATACGAATTTCCGCGTCAATACGAGACTGCACTTGTCGATCTGAATAATCAATTTTGACACGGGATAGTGTCGAATGCAACGACAACGATAATAATAATAATAACAATAATCTCATGCTTCTTAGCGGTTTAATAATATAATGTCTACTAATATTTATATAACAATAATGACAAATCTAATACAATGACATAGTAACTATTGAAATCGTTATTTTGTATTGCCAATAATTAATGATAAATGATAACATAGTTTGACTCATGATATTACTAATTAATTTCCATTAATAGTAATATAATGGCGTAATAGCAGCAGTTGCTCATTATTGAAATTAGCCAATACGCGGATCAGCTACGACGTGAACTATTTGAAAAGTAGCAGAGTAACTCCGAACTGTTCTGCATCAATACCACAACGTCCACGACATATTGCCAATTACGGGCAGGGTGAAAGGTAATTAGCAAATTACTTTATGTTTAATTAAACTCTGATTGCGGTGGCGCGTGGATGTGCTATCCGATCGCGCGAATGTACCATTAGAGCGAACGCGTAATATGTTAATTGATTTCAACATAGCAGCGGGTTTTGATACGTAAGTGGATATTAGATTCATTGTGCTGTCCATACGAATCGTAAATTAAAAATTCCTATCGAGTTTCCGTGCTTGGACGCAAGAGTATTCGCACGTCGCAATCAATCGTTTCTAATTAATTCTCGCGCAATGCGGCATGTACCGGAATTAGTTAGATCAAGAAAAGATAAATTATTTTTATTTTTTAAACTGATAACAATAAAGATAATAATTATTGTGCAAAAGATATTCAATCGTGATCTTAGAGAGATAAAAAATAAAGATACAGCAGTTTGTCATTTATAAATATTGTTAGATTAATTATTTATTAAGGAACATTGTGTAATGTTTCCATTAACTATATTTATCATGTCGATATATTCAAACGTAATTTTCTAAAAATTTTATATATTCTAAAGATTCTATCTTGTTGTAGTCAATATATTGGTTAAAGTTATTTATATGTTTGTCGTTTACTAGAAAATTTAATATTACTAGTAAAAATAATAATAAATATTAAATAATATTTAATAATTATAATAATAAAAAATCTATTGAAAAAATATATTTTAGAAAATACATTTAAAAGTCTGATCCTCCTCCGTCCTTTTACGAATTTATTTAAATATAAACATGCTTGTCTATATCTAGAGTCGTCTGTTGAAGCGATATATTGCAAACGTATTGTAACATAAGAGGCATAATTATAAGAAAAATAGTAAGCGTTGTCAGGTAGATTTAATTTGTATCGTTCTTCGAGGACATTAACATTGATTTAAAACTTGGTAATACAATAGATAAGTTTTGTACTTGCTCGAAGATTTTAAGAATGATAAGAAAAGAAAAATAAAATTCAGACCTCAAGCTTTTTAACGTTAGTTTTCAATCAGTAAGTAACCAAATTGTTTTGTAACATTGCAAACAAGAATGTCGATTTTGAATATAAATTTCAACGGGAGAACATGAGAAAGAAGAATATTTCATATATAAAATTTACGCACATAGAAAAAGAACTGTAAATTATAATTTTATATTCTTTCCAAATGTAAAATATTAATTAAATTGAACATATTTATATCCTGAAATTGAACATATTGGTATCCTGCGTCAGAATATCGAATTCTGACACAAAATCCGGAATTAATCGGTGACCGTAAGTCAAACAAAGGACAAATGTTATGAAGTTGACAAGACGACAAAGAGAACGAATATATGTAACAAAATGTTCTCGAGAATAATTTCTTTATTTCTGATGTCGTAAATCAAGATGACCGATTGGAGTGAGATTAGAATGGCAAAAATAGATGTATGCTCGGGACGGTTAGTGAGAGATGAATAAATGCTCTATTTTCCGGCGTTGAATATTTAAGATTATTGAATATTCACGGAACGCGTGAACGTTTCTTTATTATAATATGAATTTACGCAAAGCATAATTTTTTGCTGATAATAGAAACATCTTGAATATATCAATCGTGTAAATGACTCAGAGGATTGCAATTATCAAGTCTGAAACTTGTAATGTAGCTTAAGCTTGAATTTAATTTTTAATTAAACATACAAACGTTAAATAAACCTTTTATAAGTTTTTTTATTACTTGCAATCATCTACGAATGGTAGATAACATTCAATCTTCTGTTTTATAGCAATTAGATATCTGTATTTATTTACAAACGTTTCAGAACAGATACATTTATTAGAACGTATATTACTTTTAAACATTTATCGATTATGCTCATCAAAAGAAACTAATGTATTTTACAAATGTACACATCACATTAATGAAATCCGACGCATATCGTACAGTACCGAGCTGCGACTGACGTGAATTTGACATGCGCTATTTAAACGCTTCGCCAGCAATGTGATCCTCTAAATGCATTAAACCGCAATAATTAAGAGGCATGTTGACGATCGGCAGCTGCATTTACAAATATCGATCGATGTTTAATCTAATTTCTTTTTAATAATATAACAGCTGTTGGAAACGAGTAAAGAGATTTCCACATAATATCATCCCACGCACTTAATAAAATATTTTACATCACACTATAAGATTATGCTACATATCATTTACGTTTTGTTAAAAGAGTTATATGTTATATGTAATGCTATAAAAATATTATAGCATTAATTCATTAATTTTTCAAGACGCCTTTAATGTTATTATTTATTGAAATTTTCATTTATTTGATAATTATACAATATTTACGAATTTTTTTAAGGAACGCACTATTTAAATAAAAACATACTAGAAGTATTTCGATAGTACTAAAAAAAGTTTTTCAAAAAAGAAAACCCATTTATTTAAAAGTTTCTGGTGGAAACGACGCATAAAATTTGCTCGGTGCTTTTAGGCCTCTCGAGGCTTTTTCACGATTCTTATAGCTTTCAGTTTTTATGCGATATTCGCGCGGTGAGTACAGAATGTTA